GAATGACTAAAAAGCATTTTCCAATGATTTTTCCCAAAAATTTACTAAAATATGCGTCTTAAAAAAGTTTCTGCTTCCTTACTCTACCGAATTCATATTTCACCATAGTTCGCTGGGCGCAATTCTGCGGTCAAGATTCGCTTGCACCACGAGTTGTGTGGTGAAATTTTGGGCAAAGCAAAAGTTTACCAATATTGGTTTTGCGCTTATCAAATCTTGTGAATTGTTCTTGAATCTCCGTAATCGCTGCTCCAAAATGGCGCCAAGCGCCTCGTCCAATAGCGTCAGCATCGAGATGGCTGTTGGTTTATAACACCTGCGGTTGTCGCTGACAAAGTCGGCTGGTAGTGTTGGAAGGCCGTTGTCGATCATAAGAATGATGCAGTCTTTCACCGCTTACTGTTGCCAAGTGAAATCACAATATCGTCGGAAATAGCACAGCACAGAGGGAAGATAACGGGATGCAAAGAAGAAACACTTAACAGCGAATGATTTGAAGGGGCTCACCCTTCACCTTCACAGTCTGCATTTTTAAAATACAGTATGCGAGGCCGAACAAAAAATGCGATAAGAAGCATTTACTTTTCATCACATGTTCCTTCTCACTGTGATGGATACCGTACTAACAAAATCGCCTAAATAATTAATCTGGATATCTCACATAAGTGATGTTACTGGGGTGCTCTTATACATCAGGTGTAGCTATTCCGTGCGGTTCGATCCTAGCTAGCATTTGCCAATTAAAATTTGTTGGATGGGTGCTACCTTTTGAAGGGCTGTCCAAACGATAATTTGTTTCTTTGCGAATGCCACCCATTTACTACTGCAACAAAGTACGCCGGTTGTTGTCAAGTCAAACGACATGAATTTCCTATCAAAATTTTCTCCTTTTGTGGTTGGAGTACTACGAAATGATGTTTAAATCGTGAACAATTGCTTGAATTTTGGTCCAGAAATTCGTCCCCTGTTCAGAGTTTCAGTTTGCTCAGTGCAGAAATGTTGCACTCAGCAGCATTCTTTTTTTTCTTTGCGCAACCTCCTGTAAAATTTAGTTTTGGAAATGTAGATCAAAGGATGTTTAGATTTAAGGAGAGTGCATCCAGACGGGAATAAATTTTTCAGGATCTTTTTATGTTATTATAGGCTTCTCAGTTGTAGTGATATATATGCTGACTGATTCTGCACACGAAATTCTACATGCTGATGACTATGATTATTTTCTGAAAGCGTTGAAAATTGAAAAAAAAAGACGTAACTGAAAAGTTTATAGACGGATGCGCATAACGGTGAGAACCTGACCTTCCATCAGCTTCGCAGGAAATCGCACAGTTTCGCTAATGCGCTCAAACTACTTGGTGCCAGCAAGGGTGATATTGTTTGTGTGCTTTTGGAAAATTGTAACCAATATGCGATTATCTTCTTGGGCAGTGCGCTGATTGGGTGCACCGTATCTGGCATCCATCCGGAATCTACACAACGTAACGATTACTATTTTTTTATAAATTAGAAAACAAACACACCATTTGAGTTTGTAAAAGCTGCGTTTCAGAAAAAAGAATAGCATTAGAACATCACTGTGCACAAACACTCAGCTTGCTGAGCAGTTTTCATGCGTTTTTGCATATATGCAAATGCGAAAACGCATATTGCGACGATCCCAGTGTGTGTGTCTGTCCGGGTATTTCAACTCGGCCCCCAAGCAAGCTTCGGTGCCAAAATTTTGCCGGTGGGTTCCCCAGCCAAGTACCATCCCAGGACCGCGGTACCAAACCTCATACACGTCCAGACCCCGCGTATGGGCACTTGAAAAATTTGGCGGGAAAATCGCTAACTCAGAAACCAAAGAAGTTGGAAAGCTGAGATTTTAAGATTATGTTTCCTGTCCATATGGAACTCAAAGATTTCAAGTTCAGCCCCCAGGTGTGCGTAGTGCCCGCGTATGACCCTGTGAGGGTTCCTGGCGCGAAAATCGTTAACTTGAGAACCAGGAAAGTTGGGAAGCTGAATTTTTCAGGAAATATTCCCACCACATGTATAACTTAATATCATCGAATTCAGCTCCCAGGCCTACGTGGTTATCATGTACGGCCCCGTAAAATTTTTGGCGGAAAAATGGCTAACACGAGAAATAGGAAAGCTGGGAGCTAAAATTTTAAGGGTATGTTCCCAGCCCCCGTAAGTTAAAGATATCAAATTCAGCTCCCAGATACGTGTGGTTCTCATGTACGAACCAATG